AAAAAGGCATAAATGAGAAAGTTATGCAACTTACCATCTTCTTCATATTTTTTCAATGTTTCTTTGTCAGTGTCTAAAAAACTTCCACACACTTCTGGTGGCGGTGGCTGCAGGTGGTCATCTAACTTCTCTCCGGCCAACTTCAGGGATTCCATGCAGCGCTTAAAGTAGATATTATTTTTGGCATAGTCTAAATTTTTCAGGTCAGAGTATAGGGACTGTTTTTTCTCTTCATCTAAAGTGTCCCAGAACTGCAATAGATGTTCTTGTCCATTCTCTGACAGTTCTTTTCTCAGTGATTCCAGATCCATGATTGATGTCTACTGAAATAAAAGAGGCATCGCATTAAAAATAAATCACTTGTAGAAATTCTAAGTTCAGTCCGGATACACAGACAGAAAAATATTTTACAAGAATAAAATATGACAACTATTCTACACTAATTTTTGTAATACTGTGTAAGTTATCCGAACTTTTAATGTCAAATTATTAATCTCAACATTGTCCAAACACATAAGGTAACAGACACTGATATCAATAAACCAAATGTTACTGAATCAGCATAAAACTTTGAATGCACAAATGCAACACTTAACATACACCTTCCCATTGTACACAATTGTTGTTGCGCCTTAAAGTTCAAACCAAACTCTTTAAGACAGATAAATACACCTGGGTGATACAATGCAGTACCTCAGAGAGTCCTGTGTGAAATGAAAAGCTGAGCTATTTGGTAGCCGCTACACACTCAATGCTTCTGCACTGTAAACCGTCACGCAAATGGTAAAACAACTGGGTACTGACTACTTGTTATATACTGTACATAGGCCTCCTTGTCTGTGTCCCTTCCCATAAATAGCAAATGGCATGTGACAAACCACCATTTGTTGTCTATAGTAACAGATGCAACAGTCGACTTGCCAGTACTCATGAGACTCCACTTGCCCAAACCATGTATAAGAATAATGCCTTGCTTTATCTTTTATACATAATAGGGCCAATTAAATGAGAAAGGCACTGGTGGCTGAGCAAGATTATAATGTTAAATATTAGCAGTATGACCTGCAATAAAGATATAAGTGGTACTACTACAAGGGTATGACGTGATAGGTAAGTAATTGGAGGACATCATACATCAAATATAAAATCCATAAATACTGTGTGTAAATATGTGGTGTAAAACAAGTACATGTTGAGATGACACGTTTGGCATGGCAAGGAAACACCCCTTCCGCCCAAATAAAAGAGACTTTAAAATATGACCCGCATTGGACAGTGGGCAGTTCCAGATGAGTGCGTGGACATTATGCCCACGTCGACAATTTTTTCCTGGGTCACTACCCACAAATGTAAACAAACCTCGTCTCAGCGGGCCGTTGCAACAGAGGTTGAAATACGGTGTTGACAAACATAAGCCGAGGCACCTGTATACATTTTAACACATTTGGAGATAACTGAAGAATTTACACAATTTAAATGTCACGTACAACTGTTATGATAACATAACATGACCTGCAATTGATCTTACATAGTGAACTACTGTCTCTCAACACTCACGATTGATATGCACATTGCAGCGTAGCTGGGAGGGGAGACAGTTATCGAAGCGAGAAATAATGTACATTTTCTAAGAATACCTCCATAGTTCAATAATAAAGCACTTACCAAAATACTCTGATATGTCTTGTGTGTCTAATTATATGCAATGAATAACTTCTTTGGGTTAACACATAGTCACAATTTGCAAATTTAATGACACCGAGCAGCGGACACCCCAAGCCGGAAGTAATGCGTGTCACCGCCGTTCAAATGCGCACTGTATTTTACGCGAAAGAAATAAGTGCCATTGATGATCTTACTCCGCTTCCCATGGTGCTGTCACCGTTTTATTTCAAGTTTATCGGTAGCTTATAATGCAAGTGCTTTCCAAATGCGTATTTTAAAATTTTTTCTATAAATAGTGCTCAAAGTGGTGAAGCAAGATGCCTTTTTTTCTATTCTTACGTCGTGTGCTAGTGACCCCGCATTTTGTTTTAAGCTACAGCTAGGGCATGTCCCAAAACACGCGCAAAGTAGGCCTACATGTAGGCCTATAGGCCTATATGAATATACCCGGTATGCGGAAAAAAAAAAATTACTAGCGTCCTCAAAAAATATCTGTAGTTCTCACCAACCTTCACTTTACAGCGACTCTATTCAGTTTCAAATAATTTTTTTAAATCTTCTTTGGTCTTTTTTTAATCAAAATGAACCTGTGTTTAATGATTGTGAATAGAATTAAATTAGCCAAATTTTCCATCTTTAGACATTTAACCGTTGTAGGTCTATCGAAAAAATGTTAAAAGTTGTGTGACTGTCTGACTGCTCGACCTACCTAATGTTAAAAGTTGTGTGACTGTCTGACTGCTCGACCTACCTACATGTGGGCCTACCTGTCGGACTTGTAGGCCTACAGGGTTTGTAGACCTACAGGTAGGGCCTACTGTAGGCCTACATCTCGGTGTCATGTAGCCTACATGCACCAGTGATGTAAGGTAGTGTTACGGTGGTTGTGGTAGTACATGTAACAGTCCCTTAGCCAGGGGGGTTCGAAAAAAAAACCTCTTTTTGCCGAGAAAAGGTCTCCTCTGGGTAAAATTTTATCTAGGTACAGGAAGATTTCATGGTTAAAGGTCCACTTTTTCAGAAAAAGAACCCCCTTTTGTAATAGCTGGCTACGGCCCTGTGTAAGTAGTCATGAGTAGTAGTAGCTAGTAGGCGACATGTAGTTTTATATTTTCATTGAAAAAGTTTTATTTCAGAAAAATGTTGACTGATTCTTACCGTCCTCTTGAAAAAGATAAAAGTTATTCGGTATGCTAAATCCCAGTCAAGAACTTTATGCCACAGGCTCTATCTGTGACTAGTCTGCCTGTTTAACTATCAGGAGGCGTTCCGATGTTTTTGGCAAAAAATAGAGGGTGCTTAGTATATGGCGCCAGTACTTAATTCGAGCAAAAACAAATCGATCTGATTTTAATTAAATTATACGAGAATGCCCGTTTATCGATGTGTAGTTTTGCAAGTATTAAACTCTTCCTGATCGATATCACAACATTTTGTTCAAGGTTATTTCTAATGACAGCATTCGTTCCATATATCATCTCTCACATGAATTAATTTTGTTCGTCATTTAAAATTAATTTGAATTGCCAAACCAAACATATGTAGGCATTTACTTCAAGTTAGTCTGGGGTGGTCGGCCTTATAGTTAAAATCGAATTTATTCAAGGTTGAGCCACTGGGGAAGAATGTTTTGATAGCTCCCCTTGCTGCAGCGCACAAAATGGATACATTATAGTCAGTAGATATACTTAGGCTTCTCCAGTCGGCTTCTCGCCCATGCACGTCGTGTAAACTGTGGTATGTAAATACGTGTAATGACTAAGAAAAAAATCCGGTTGAGGTGCTATCTCGCTTCAAGATCGTGGACTGAAAAAAAAGATACAATAACGTGGAGGGGGGGG